ACACTAATCTTACGCTGAAGAGCTGAGGGACACTGCCCAATCCCAGAGTGCAGACTCAACAGCCAGCAAAAAAAAAAATGGAAAAGCCTCCCATGTTCCTGGATTGGGAAGATTCATACCATGAAATGACAATACTGCTCAAAGCTCTCTACAAACTCAATGCAATGCCCATCAAAATCCCAACAACATTCCTCATTGAAATACAAAACACAATCCCAAAATCCCTGTGGAATAATAGAAGACTCCAAATAGCAAAAACAATCCTTACCAGAAAGAACAGTGCTGGAACAATGTCAATACAAAACTTCAAACTCTATTATGAAACTGCATTTATAAAAATACATTCGCACTGGCACATGAACACACCTCAGGATTAATGAGTAGAATTAAGGTCCAAGAAATAAATACAAAGAACGTCGGCCACCTAAACTGTGATAAGGGAACAAACAACACGGGATTGAAGAAAGCATATTCAACAAATGGTGCTGGAAGAACTCACTATACAAGACCCAGAAACACAACAAATCAAAGAAAGGTTTGAAAAATGGGATTGCATGAAGCTGCAGAATTTCTGCATGACAAAGAACATAGCTAGCAAGATCAATAGAAAGCCCACAGATTGGGAGAAAATCTTCACTACCATACAACGGACAAGGGTCTCATGTCTCAAATATACCTGGATCTCAAAAAATTAAATCCCCCAGCAACAAATCTTCAAAGAAACAACTGCCCAATAAATAACTGGGCCAAGGACTTAAACAGAAACTTCTCTGAAGAAGAAAGAAGGATGGCCAATAGACACATGAAGAAATGCTCAACCTCCTGAGCCATAAAAGAAATGCAAATCAAAACAACATTGAGATACCACCTCACCCCAGTTAGAATGGCTATAAGCAAGAACTCTAATAACAACAGATGCTGGAGGGGATGTGGACAGAAGGGAACCTTACTGCATTGTTGGTGGGAGTGTAAACTTGTTCAACCAATTTAGAAAGCTGTATGGAGGTTCCTCAAAAGACTCCACATAGACTCCCCTATGACCCAGCAATCCTACTTTTGGGCTTTATCCAAATGTTTACAAACAAGACCACACTAAAGCTACACACAAGACTATGTATATTGTAGCATTATTTGCCATAGCTAAGATCTGGAACCAACCCAGATGCCCCTCAGTAGATGAATGGATCAAGAAAATGTGGTATATATACACAATGGAATTCTATGCCTCCAGCAGAAAGAATGACATTGCCCCATTTGTTAGGAAATGGAAAGGCTTGGAAAAAATTATATTGAGTGAAGTAAGCGAGGCCCAAAGAACCATAGGGCCCATGGTTTCCCTTATTTTCAATAACTAGTATATGTCTGAGTCAAACAGAAAAAGTCAGATAAAGTGACGTTAGGGAAATGAACCCTAAGATATGTATTCAAATGTTTTTTTTTTCTTTCATGCGATTGTTTCTAACACATTTATAAGATTATTTCTTTGTTGCTTTGTATGTCCCTCCCCCACGATATAACCCCTGCTTTCACTGTATTTGATGTTGGTATAATTTATGGAGGGGAATGGCAAAAAACAAATAGTTTAAATAAGGGTACAGGTGGAGCCATTGCAACAATGAGATGTACATGTCTTTATGTTGAAAACTAACTTTACAACTTTCTGGGGAGGGGTGCAGGGAAGAATTGGAAGGGTTGGGAAGGGGAAACAAAGAAGGAGGCTGCAATGCTTGGTAAGAAATGTATTCATTATCTTGCCCATGTAATTGTAACCCCTCTGTACAGTATTTTCACAATAAAAAAAAGAAAAAAAAAGGAATTCTTTCTATTGTCTGCTTTCCCAATTTCTTACTTTAAAGCTTTAACTTTCACTGTAGAAATCTTTTACAGATCCTACATTAGGTTTTAAATCCTAGATTTTTTTTGTAAAGCTGACATTTCAAGATATATATAGGATCAATTATGAGGTTCTGTTTAGTTTACCTTAATGGATTAAAAATTAAGTTTATCTCTGCATGGGGGCTCATGCCTGTAATCCTATTTACTCAGGAGGCTGAGATATGAGGGTCAGGTTTCAAAGCCAGCCCAGAAAGAAAGTGCATGAGACTCTTATCTCCAATAAACCACCAGAAAACTACATGTGGCACTGTGGCTCAAGTGGTAGAGTGCTCGCCTTGAGCTGATGAGCTGAGCTACAGTACCCAGGTCCACAGTTCATAATCCCATCACCAACTACAAAAAAAATTAAGTTTAGGCAAACAGGCCAAAGAGAAGTTATTTTTCCAACTGTAAGTGGACTGTCTTTTAAATTTAATTTTTGTATTACTTCAAATTTTCTAGTGTATATGGTACAAATGGTTTTCATTATGATAGTATTATAGGGCACATGAAGTCTTTTTATCTGATGCATCTTTATCCATTACTTTTTATTTCCTCTAAAACATTAAATTACCCTAATTGCCTGCTGTATTTTGTTTTCATTCATGCATAGTCCCTAATGATTCCACAGTATTATATCTAAACCGTTGAAAAAAACAACAAATCAGATAAAATTTTCATTTGACATTTCATTCCCAATACCACTTGATACAGACACAGACACAGACAGAAAGACAGAAAGACATATGCACATACACATGTGCATACACATACACACACACACACACACACACACACACACACACACACACATACACATGCACTCACAAAACAAAGATAGGGAAACCTTGACGCAGAGGCCAAATCCAGCCTTCCTTTTATGAATAAAGTTTTATTATAACACAAAAGAAAAAAAAAATTTTTGAGTCCATTCATGAGGCCTGAACTCTTCAGCTCAAGGCTAGCACTCTACCACTTGAGCCACAGTGCCACTTCCGGTTTGTTTCTTTTTGCTTATGTGGTGCTGAGGAATCGAACCAAGGGCCTAAGGCATGCAAGGCAAGCGCTCTACCACTGAGCCACCTTCCCTGCCCCAAGAAAAATAATTTTATATGGCTACATTTTCCTTGTTCCATTTTTTTCTATTTCTGTGTTTCTATTTATCTGTCAGATTCTCTATTATGTGCCATTGCTCTCGCCCTGGCTGCCACCCTTTGGGTGGGGGGAAGGAGAGAGGAAGATTGAGTGGCAGGGCAGGGGGGAGGATGGGAAGGGATAGGAAGGAGAAACAAAAGAGGAGGCTACAATGCTTGATAAGAAATGTACTCATTATCTTGCCCATGTAATTGTAACCCTCTGTACAGTATTTTCACAATAAAAAAAGAAAACGTTATATATATATATGGAGAGAGAGAGAGAGAGAGAGGAATTCTAAGCCTTTATCAGAAAAAATGATACTGTCGCATTTGTAAGGATATGGAAAGACTTAGAAAAAATTACATTAAGTGAAGTAAGCCAGGCCCAAAGAAACATAGGTCCTACAGTTTCCCTTATTTGTAATAACTAGTATATGAATAGGACAAGCAGAGACGGTCAAAAGATATGTACATATAACCATATAAGGTAATGTTAAGCAAAATGACCACAAGATAGAGACACAAGAGGTTTTATCTTGGGTTGCTATTGTTTTAATGTATTTATTGTGTACTATGTGATTATTTTGTTTCCCTTGTATATTCTTCCCCCATAGCATAACCCTGTTTTCACTGTATTTGATTCCAGTGCCCTACATCTTGTATACACATTTTGATAATTTGGAGAGGAGAAGGGAAATAATGAAATGCTGAAATATGGATACAGTTTGACCCATTGTAATAATAAGATGTACAAGACACTATGTTGAAAATGAACTGTACAATGCTGGGGGAAGGAGTAGGGGAAGTGGGGAGGGAAGACTTGGTAGGGTAAAAACAAAGGAGAGGATAACAATGCCTGATAGAAAATGTACTCATTACCTTACTCATGTAACTATTAACTATACAGTACTTTTACAATAAACATATATATTAAAAATAAAATGTGCTATACTCATACAACAGAATTCTATGCTTCTATCCAACTGTGTTTTAAAAGTACATATGTGGTATGTATTTTGATGCCCAGTGCATGATTGTGAACAAGTGGAAGAAAATATGTCCACTACCCTGAGGTAGTTCTGTTCTCCAGGGCCTCTGAAGTCTCTGCATGGAATATGGGTGTAACACATGTTGTCAATTTGAAAATATACAGTTGCTTTTGATACTGCTTTAGCATTGTGATACAGAAGAATTTCCTTTCCTACCACTTATTCTCAACCCAGTGCAGCATGGAAATATCTTCATCTATATTTGCATGTATAAATTCAATTACCAATTTGACGGCAACATTTCAGAATGTCAAAGTAGAAATCACTTTCGACGTTGGTTGTGAGTGATTGGCATATCATTGCTGGGTTCATAAGCAATACTGCTTCCTCAAGCAATAGTAAATGGCTGTATTTCTAGAGGCCTTTTCATATGGAATTCGTATGAAAGCTGCTGGTATCAACCGCTAAGATTCTATGGCTGTTATTTACATTGTGTGTGTGAATTGACCCTCTGAGTGTGATGTTCTCAAAATGTTAGCTGATACCTCACAGGCATAGATTTTGTGTGGACATTTCACCATGCACAGGGCATGGCATCCTCTGAGGGAAATCAGTTGCACCATCCCAAATGGCTTTCATGCAAACAGTTTTGTGACAGAGATGCTGGACAAACTACATCCTGGATAACTCTACCTCTGGGGCCTCACTATCTGTTGTCTTTGATGAAATCATAACTTCTGGGTGAAGAACACAAATGGACAAACATGTTTTCCAACTCATGTTTTTCTCCTGGATGAAGGCCACAGATGTAGAGCTCCAGGGAATACTTATACACATGACTTGTGAGGACTCACAAGAGGCTGTGGTGAAAGGAGAGCTATAGTGTAGATCTCTATCAATAAAAAGACATATATGCACATGTAAAACATATATGAATATGCATGCCTAACATGTTGTCTTCACATCCAGACAGAATTGCAGCTTGGCAGAGGCTTAGGGCATGTACCTTTTGACTTTCAAACTCCTTCTTCTCCAGCTTCCCCTCCTCTTCAGGTCCTTGGCTGGCAATAGCTGCTTCTCTACTATGAAGCGCCGAGCACACATCGATGGAGATGTGACCATCACTGGGGTTTTCCCTCTGAACACTTTTGGAATAGGCTACAGTAACAGCCATGTTTCCAGCCAAGAAGAGCACACACCGTAAGTAATTCATCATTCTATTCGCATTTACTATCTCATTCTGAGGATGGGCAAACACTAAGGAGAATCTAGGTGCACACATCAATGTTCTGTGTCTTTTCTATGCTCTATTGTACCAGGAGCAGCTCAATTCCATTATTTATCTTACATCTACTGTTAAGCAATTTTCTGCTTGCTAGTAGGACAGGATTTTGTTTCATTTCTTTCCATACAGCTTCTTCTTTCCAAGCTGGTAAATTCTTCACTTTTCTCCAGCATGCCTTATCTATCATTGCAGAAGATGAAGTGATGTTACTACAACCACCCCGAGTCACTGCAATGAGATCTGTACTAAAAGTCTGCAAACACATTTCCTTCATGCTTAGGTCAGTACTGTGAGAGCTTTGCTTTAGGAACCCCTTTATTTTGAGAACATGGATAAAATTTCTTATCATCAGCTGGTGGCTCATGCTTGTTAATTTTACTCTTGGTGCTGATATTAAGGATCAGTACTTGAAGCCAGCTCAGGCAGGAACATCTGGGAGACTTTTATCTCCAATTAATCAACCAAAAGCTGGAAATGAAGCTGTTGCTCAAGTGACAGAGTGTTAGACTGGAGGAAAAAAGCTCAAGGACAGTGTCTGGGCACTGATTTCGTGCCCTAGGACTGTCTAACACACACACACACACACACACACACACACACACACTGCCTCTCTCTCTCTTTCTCTCTCACTCTCTCCCTGGAGAGAAGTAGTTACTGTTTCCCTAAGCCTTGTGTCATTACTTTATGTCAGATATGCTACACAAAACATGCCTTACCAGGCAGGTTAGCATTATAAAGATCACTTACAGAAAAATTTTATCTGCCCAAGTTCTATTTTACTTGTGCTCATGTATGTTGCTTGTTTTTGCTCTTGAACAGAGAGCCTCACTAATAAAAGGCTATCCCCTCCCAAAAAAAAAGAAAAATGACTTGAAGATCATCAAGAAACTCTAGCAAACTATTTGATTCCTATTGCAAAAGAAAATGGCATTGTGTCTATCATTTGCACTTGTTTACAAGGGCTGGTGTGACAATTAGACACTGAGGTAGCTGCCCACAATCAAGAGCAGTGATACTAGAATAGCAATTACTCTCTTCTGAGCTATGAAAGAGATAAGGCCTTATCTTATGTGTCATTGGTATGTTTGTCTGTCTTCCTTTGTGCTGGTCCTTGGAACTCAAGGCCTGGGCACTATCGCTGAACACTTTTGCTTAAGGCCAGTACTCTAGCATTTGAGCCACAGATCCACCTATGGCAATTTTGGATGGTTAAAGGGAGATAAGAATCTCACCAACATCCCTGCCCAAGCTGGCTTCAAAGCATGATCCCCACCCGGAGAAAGTGAAGACTCAAGGCTAGGAGTGTCACTGGGGACCTAACCCCCCCAGTCCCAGGGAGAGCAGAAGAAAGGGTGATTCCCCTGATAAGAACAGTGCCTAGGCAACCAAACACAGACCTGAAGACAAGACATCTTTATTTTTAGGATGACTGGCATCCATCCATCAGAACCTTGAGCTCTGATGTCCAAGTCTGTGCCAATATATTAGGTTAAGTAAGCCAATTATATTAGGTTTAGCAAGCCAGTCCCAAAGAAACAGAGGCTCTATAGTTTCCCTCATTGGAAATAATTAGTTTGTCCCTTAGATAGTCCTGACAGAGAACCATAATAGATCAATAGCTATGTACATATGTACATATATACATATATAATTAACACCCAGACTTGGAACAACAGGTCTTTTTTTTTTTGGTTGTTGACCTTGTTGTTGCCAATATGCTGTATCTGGTTCTTTCTTCTTATTAATTTAATTTTTATTTTTTCTTTGGTTTATCCCTGGCAATCACTGTCTTTGATTCCAGTATCCTATGTTTTTGTGTGTACATTTATCTGATTTGGGCAAGGGGAATAACAAAATGCTGAAACAAGGACAAAGGATGAAGCATGCAACAATGATACATACAAGACACTATGTAGGAAATGAACTTTACAACTTTGGCGGAGGCAAGGAAGAGTAGGGGAGGGAAGGGATAGTGGGAGACAAACAAAGGGGTGGGTAACAATGTTTGACAAGGAATATAATCATTACCTTACTCAGGTACTAACATCTTTATAAAAAAATAAAATTTTTAAAAAAGAAATTTTCCTTGAAAACATCTCATTTAAGCAATTAGTAATCAGTTAATTAAATTGAATATTTTTAATTATATTAATTTATTCATTTATGTATGACAAATAATTCATAGCATTTCCATATTCTGTGCATGTTTTTACTGCTTTCTTTGTTGATTTCTGGCCTCACTACAGTGTGATGGGCACGTGTGTCAATAAACACACTTTCAATACCTTTAATATCTGACTGGTTTTATTCAATAACCTAAAGAAAGCAATCGATATGGGGTTGATTTCATACCTGCCAATTTTGCCAAAGTTCTATATCAACTCTAGTAGCTTGAGAGAGGAGATTTTTGGAGGCCTTTTAGTACAGTATAATATCTGTTTTACTTCTTGCTTCCCTATTTGGTTCCCCTAAATGTCTTTCTCTTGCTTACTAATCTTGCTGGGAATTCCAATGCTATGTTGAAGAGGAATGGACAGAAAGGATGTCCTTGTTGTTTAAATGGTTGTTTAAAACTTGGGGCTTTACCAGCGGAGGGGCGCCCGCCTGGCGCGCCCAAGGCCGTGGGTTCGGCTCTCAGCCCTAGTTTAAAAAAAAAAAAAAGACACATAAAACTTGGGGCTTTAGTGTAGTCTGATTTGTGGTCCACTGGATATATGCCTAGGAGTGGAATTGCTGGGCCAAACGGAAGCTGTATGCTTAGTTTTTTAAGGAACCTCCACACTGCTTTCCAGATTGGTTGAAAAAGTTTACACTCCCACCAACAGTTTCATAGTATTCCTTTTAGGAGACATCCCTGCCAACATTTGGTATTGTTACTTTTTCTGATAAAGACCGCTCTAATTGGAGTGAGGTGGAATCTCAATGTTATTTTGATTTGCACTTGTCTTGTGGCCAGAGATGTTGAACACTTGTTCGTTTGTGTGTCTATTGGCCATTCTTTTTCTTCCTCAGAAAAGTCTCTCTTTAAGTCAGCCTATTTATTGATTGAGTTGTTGAGTTTGGGGAGGTTTCTTTGGAGGGTTAATTTTTTGAGCCCTGTCTATATTTGAGATATGAGGCATTTGTCTCATGTGTACTGAATGAAGATTTTCTCTCATGCTGTGTTATTTATCTTGATAGCTATGTCCCATGCTATGCAGAAACTCTTCACTTTAATACAATCTCATTTATCCATTTATTCTTTAATTTGTTTGATTCTGTATCTTATAGAAACTCTTGTCCCATTCCAAGAAGGTTTAGGATATCCCTTATCTCTTCCTGTAATATTTGCATACTACATGGTCTTTAGTCCACTTACACTTGATTCTGGTACTAGGTGATATATATGTATCTAGCTTCAGTTTTCTGCATGTAGCTAACCCAATTTTGCCAGCACCATTTGTGTAACAGGATATCTTTCTTCCAAACTGTGTTTTGGGCTCCCTTATCAAATATTAAGGGGTTCTATATTTGTGGGATTGTTTCTGCATCTTCTGTTCCATTGTATTTGTCCTCAGGCCTAGTCTTGTAACACTAATAAGCTATTTTTCTTACTATGGCTTTGAAATAAACATGATTCCCATCTTTGGTTAATTTCAAAGTATTTTCTTTTTTCTGCGGTGATTACAAATGATGTTGCTTTTCTGATTTCAGTATTGTTGGAAAACAGGAAGACAACTGTTTTTGTGGGTTGATTTTATACCACACTATTTTGCCAAAAGTTTAAATCAACTCAAATAGCTTGGGTGAGGAATATGTAAGATTCTTTTGTCTGCAAAGAAGGATAGAATTACTTTTTCTTTTTAGATCCCCTTTATGTGTTCCTCTTCCCTTTTTTCTCTTGGTAGGAATTCTAGCACTATGATGAAGACGAATGGAGAGAGTCGGAACCTTTGTCTTGGTCCTGATTTCAGAGAGATTGGTTTCAATTTTTCCCCATTAAGTATAATGCTGGCCCTAAGTTTGGCATATATAGCCTTCATTATATAGAAGAAGCTTCCATGGATTCTGAGTTTGTCCAGAGCTTTCAGAATAAAGAGGTGTTGACTCATGTCAAATGATTCTTTGCATCTATTGAGATGAACATGTGGTTCATATGCTTGCTTCTGTTGATGTGTTGAATTACATTAATTGACTTGCTTATATTGAACCAAGTTTGTAATCCTGGAATGAATCCCATTTGATCATAATATGTAAATTTTTTTGATTACTTGATGAACTTGTTAAGCCAGAATTTTGTTGAGAAGTTATCTATCAACATCCATCAAATTGATGTGTCTATAGTTCTCCTTCTTTCGTGGGTTCTTATCTGCTTTTGGAATGAGTGTTATGTTGGCTTCATAGAATGAGTTTGGTAGTGATCTTTCTCCTCTATTTCATTGAAGAGTTTGAGGAGTATGAGACTGAGTTGCCCTTTGAAGACCATATAGACTTCTGCTGTGATTCCAGCTGGTCCTGGGCTTTTCTTGAAGAGGAGGTTCCTTATTGCCATTTCAATGGCATTAGTTGTTATGGATCCATTTGGTTGAGATAAATCTTCTTAGTTCATTTTGGGGATATCAATGCTCTCCAGAGATGCTTCCATTTCTCCCAGATTCCTGAATTGACAGTCATAAAGGTTTCTGAAGTATTCCCTAATAACATTATGAATCTTGCATATTTCTGTTCTGATGTTCCAATTTTCAAGTCTAATTTTATTAATTTTGATGTTCTTTCTTTCACCAAATTTTCTAAGGGGTTATCAATTTTTTTACATTTTTCAAAGGACCAGCTTTTTGTGTTGTTCATCCTCTAATTTTTTTACCCTCTAATTCCTTTATATCTGATTCATTTTTTATTATCCACTTCTGTATATTAATTTTGGATTATCCTTGGTCCTGTTTTTCTCAGACATTGAGTTGCATCACTAAAATGTTCATTTGTGTTTTCTCCAATTTGTTGATCTTAGAACTATAAATTTTCCTGTGTTCTGTCTTTAGTATGTCCCAGAGGAGCTGGGTTTCTTTTTAGTCATTGTTCTTACATTGTGTAATGATTTGGATTTCCCTTCTAATCTCCTCGAGTATCCATTGCTCAATCAATAATATGTTGTTTATTTGTCTATAAGTCAGATTTTTCTCTGACAGATTTTCAGGTTCATCTCTAATTTTCATCCAGTGTGGTCTGATAGGATTAAAGGGAGTAAGGACAATTTTTTTTTTAATTTGCACAGGTTTGCTTTGTGACCTAACATGTGGTCTATTTTGAAGCATTGCCGGGGCTACTGAGAAGAATGTATATTCTAATGCTGTTGGGTAAGAGTCTGTAGATGTGTATTCAATCTACTAGGTCGATTTAGTTTATACTTCTGAGGTTGCTTTGGTGAGTTTTGCCTAGCTAATATACCCAGAGATAAGAGTGATAAGTTGAAGTCTCCAATTATCAATGTGTTTTGATCTATGTGTATTTTTAAATCAAGTAGTATGTGTTTGATGAAGTTGGGTGCTCCAGAGTTTGAAGATATTTAGAATTGTCATATCTTTTGTATCGTTTGTTATTTGTTTAGTTTGTGTAGTATAATCAGTATATAGTATATACAGTATAATTGCAATATATAGTATATACTTTAACATTCATATATATATCAAAATATAGTATAATTGTATAGTTCTCTTTATTAGTATGTAATGATCTTGTTTCTCTTTCTTTACTGATTTTATTTTGAAGTCTATTTTAGCATATTAGGATATTAGGATTGGTACTCTATCCTCTTTATTCCAAACTTTCAATTGGAGAATGCTCTGTCAGCAAATTTTGTCTTGTTTAAGCAATATATGGACAGATCTTGCTTTTGGATCCAAGTAGTCAGTCTATGTCTTTAATTGGAGAGTTAAGTCCATAAATATTGAGGGTTAGGACTGAGGGGTGTCTGGTAATTACTACTGGGCTATTTGCAGCTTTAGGGGTTGTGAGGTTTTCTGTTCTTAAAAATAAGTAAGGATTTCTGTTCAGTGTGCTAGAGATCAGAGCTATTCTGCATTGCAGTTTCTATGGGAATTACCTAAGTTAGGACTCCTTTAGAAGCAGAGACTTATTTCTAAATTGTAATTTGACCCTTCTTGATACTGGAGCTATATGCTGCTGCTCCCATCAGAGATGCTGTGTGGGAAATGTAATAGGGGAGGTAATAGTTTCTAGCCTTCTTTCCTGTGTAGAGGTGAGTTCTGGTGTTCCCAGGTGCCTCCATAGAGGCATTGTTGGTGGGAATGTAAACTTGTTCAACCACTTTGGAAAGTAGTATGGAGATTCCCCAAAAGACTCCACATAGAGCTCCCCTATGCCCCAGCAATCCTACTTTTTGGCATTTACCCAAATGATCACAAACAAGACCATAATAAAACTACCAGCACAACTATGTTTATTGGAGCATTGTTTGCCATAGTGAAGATATAGAACCAACCCAGATGTCCCTCAGCAGATGAATGGATTAAGAATATGTGGTATATATATATACACAATGGAATTTTATGCCTCCATCAGAAAGAATGATATTTCCCCATTTGTTAGGAAATGCAAAGACTTGGAAAAAATTATATTAATTAAAGTAAGCTAGGCCCAAAGAAATATAGATCGATTGCTTTCCCTTATTAGCAATAACTAGTACATATTCTCTGAGACAAACAGAAAAGGTCATATAAGATGATGTGAACTAAATTAACCACAAGATAAGGACACAATAGGTTTTTCATTTCTTGCTATTGCTTCTAACATATTTATAAGGTACCACTTGGTTTTTTGATGCTTTGTTTGTCCTACCCCCATGGTATAACCTCTGTTTTCACTGTATTTGCTGTCAAATAATTTATGGAAAGGAAGGGAAAACAAATTGTTTAAATGGGGATACAGGTTGACCCACTGCAACAATGAGATGTAGAAGATGCTTACCAAAAAACGAACATTTCAATTTAGTCGGGGAGTGGGGGGGATTTGTGGAGATGGTAGGGAAGGGATGGTAAGGGGAAAACAAAGGAGGAGACAACAATGCTTGAAAAGGATTGTACTCATTACTGTGCTCATGTAACTGTAACTTGTCCTCCATACAGAATTCTACAAAGGAAAAAATTTAAAAATTAAAGTGGGTGACAAAACCACAAGATTTATTTTCACACAAGTATAGCTAGTTGCCCTAAGATAAAGGCAACAGAATATTTCCTGTCTCATAAAAATCTATTCCAACAGATTTTGGCTGTAGTAAAGGTCTGGTGGTGGTGGGGAAGCAAGCTCTCTCTCTCTACTTAACTGTTTCTCAATCATTTTCATGACAAATGCCCTTCATGTCTTCATCTAATTCTCTATACAACCATAACATATTACATGCATATTCCATTCCAATTATGGTAATAATTTAAACAATTCATTCGCAAAGAAGCAAGTATTTACTATACTAAGTCATAAGTTTTTAATAATCCTCCTGTATGTCTATGCCAATTATTCAGCTTTGTGTTCAAGAACTATCAGTTTGTGTTGGCTTTGGCTTTTGCTATTGAGGAGATCAACAAAAACCCTGATTTTTTAAGTAACTGGACTCTGGGATTTGATGTCTATGATGTTCAAGTCAGAACTTGGACAATGTTTAAGAATCCCTTCATTTGGTTCTTTGGGAAGTACAAGATTCCAAACTACTCCTGTATGAGAGACAGAAGGTCTATAGCAGTACTTACAGGACCATTAGGATTCATATCTGACAAAATTGGAACATTGCTGGGACTCTACAGATTTCCACAGGTAAGAATGGTGGTGTGAAAAGTTAGAAAAACATCTACTTTGATGTCATTTCAGGTGTTAGAAGAGAATGATAGGAGAGACTGGATTTATAAACCTATCAAATTTTGTGGTATCAAAGAATAAGTATATAAAGATATATATAGATATATATATCCACTGTTTGGAAAAGGATACGGAAAAGTTAGAAAAGACAAATAGATAATTTATTGTTGCAAGCCTATCAATAATCTCCTGTGATAGAATGAGTAAATGTAAAATGAATTTGCAGTGTGAATATATTAAGCAGAGTACTAATGGCGCAAACCCGTAATTCTAGCAATTCAGGAAACTTCTATCTAGAATTAACCAGCCACAAGCTGGTATACCAACAAGTTGGCTCAAGTGGTAGACAGTCTTTAGAGAAAAATCCAACAAAGTGCATGAGGACATGAATTTGTGCCCCTCTACTAGAATGTATGTGCACAATCATACACACACATAAACACACACACAAACACATACACACAAGATATTATGTTGAATGAAGTAAGTTAGGCTCAGATTGAGATGGGGAATGTTTTCTCACATATGGGAGAGCTAGATCTAAAATATAAACATGTATCACACACATAGCTTCATGTGTGTGTGTGTATGTGTATGTGTGTGTGTGTGTGTGTGTGTATAACCAACCTGACTAAAGCATGGTATATATACAGGTGGAACTCGATGCTATGACTTTTCTTATCTACTGACAGTACAAAAATAAACACCATAAACCTGAAGCATAACTGAGAAGGGTAAGTGTTGAGGCAAAACGTGAGAGGAATAGGGAATCGATGGAAAGGAATACACAGAACACTCACTGTACATATGTGAAAATGGAATTAGGGAGTGGATGGAGTTGATATAGATGGGAGGAGTTTATGGAAATAGTGACAAAGATCAAGAGACATTTTACAATTTATATGTTATACAACTCCTCAAAAACAATTGAAACATTTTTTCAAAAACTAAAATGAAATCTACCTTCCACCTACTTCAACTGCTTCTTCACATACATCAAGACTCAAATTTTGATGGATGATAATGCTCTAATTCATAAAGCATCCAATTTCCTTTCCATTTAGCTTACCTTTGGGCCTTTTTCTCATGCCCTGAGTGACCATCACAAGTTTCCTGCTCTCTATCAGATGGCCCCAAAGGACACATCGATAGCGACAGCCATGGTCTCTATACTGCTTCACTTCAGCTGGAACTGGGTGGGACTATTGAACTTAGAGGATGAGAATGGATTGTGGTCTCTTGCTGAACTGAAAGAAGAGATGGCCAAGAACAGAGTTTGTGTAGCTTATGAGCTAGTGATCTCAAGCCAATCAGTATCACATGTACTCCAATCCATGGCAGTTTATAATGATATAAATAAATCTTCAGCAAATGTCCACATCATACATGGTGATAATGGTTCACTAATACCTTTAAACGTGTTCATTGAGCAACTTTTAATAAAAGGCAAAGTTTGTATCATGAACTCAGAGTGGGATTTCACCACGAAAAGGAAATATTTCATGGTAGGCTCATTGCATATACCTCTCATTTTTTTACACCATCATGAAGATATTTCTGGATTCACAGATTTTGTCAAGGCAGTTAATCCTTCCAAATACCCAGAAGACATTTTTCTTGCTAGGATATGGTTTCTGTCTTTTAATTGCTCAAATCCTCAGTCTGACTGTGTAACATGGGACAACTGTCCTCATGATGCCTCTTTGGATTGGTTGCCTGGGCGTGTTTTAGACATGACTATGTCTGGACACAGTTACAATATATACAATGCTGTGTATGCTGTGGCCAAGGCTCTCCATGAGATGCTTCTTCATCAGACAGAAGTTCAAATAATGGGAAATAGAAAAGGGACACTGCCTTCCCCTGCACAGGTAATTTCATCTATGTGGATGGCACATACTATGAGCAGAGGCACTTCCTAGAAGGGGTGTTATTCTCTGAAATTGAATGGTTCTGGTATTTTTGCAAGTCTCAAACATTTAAGCCCAGTCTGGTTTAAATTGTCATACTCATATTTCAGCCTCCTGGGTAACTGGGATTACAGGTGTGAGTAACCAGTAATCAGCTTATAAATTCATTTACTTATAAATAACCACAATGTGCCCATAGCTAATCTTTTGAAAACTAAATTAGGATTTTCCCTATACATTTCTTCAGGAATACCAAAGGATAACATACTGAAGAGAATTTTCCATTTTTCATATGGGATATAGTTTCCCTCAACTTTGGTAATAAAAATGAAACATTCTCAAACTATAGACATTAATAAAAATAGTTTCTGATCAACTCTAGCTGTGTAACTGAGAATTGTCTCATTCGTGGCTATATAGTATAGGTTTCTCTTGAACAAAGACCTGTACTCTATTCTGAGTAACCAGGATTCAGAAAATTATTTTTATTCCTCCTTAGATTGTTTACACAGATACTTCAATCATTCTCAGTGCTATTCTTGAATTCAGAATTGCCTTTAGGTAATGAGTAGCATTTCTTAATTCACATTTTGTGTCTTGCCTTGGGATGTACTTCCCCATAATATGATGTCTCTCTTCAGTTGCTCCATTTTCTGAAGAACATCCAATTTCACAATTCTGTTGGACATCAAGTGTTTTTGGATGAGAAAAGGAAATTGGAGCCAGACTATGACATTCTGAACATTTGGAATTTTCCAGAAGGTCTTGAACTTGAGGTGAGAGTAGGAAAGTTTTCTCCCAATGCTCTACATGGTAATCAACTGTTTTTATCTGAAGATATGGTAGAGTGGGCCATTGGAAATACAGAGGTGAGTTGGGTCTAATCCTAATAATTTTATTGACACACAAATAAACAAGTCACCCTTTATATTTACACTTGCCTAAGTGTCAGCAACTTTCGCCCATAAGCCTACCTACTCAGATCCTTGAGATCTGAATATCATGATTTAAAAGTCAGCCCTAACAAGAAGTTCTGTGAGACTGTTATCGCCAATTAACCAACAAAAATCTGGAAGTTGAGCTGTGACTGAGTAATGCAATAATAACTGAGCAAAACATTCTCAAGGCCAGTGCCTAGACATTGGGTTCAAGCCCAGGATGGGAACTAAAAATATTACATGTGTTCCTAATTTTTGATTCAGAATATTGTCAGGTTATAGTTTCCTATTTCCTACACTGTGATAAAGTACCTGATAAATAAATTTATGGGCTCAGAAGCTTTATTGGTTTCCATTATGTAGAGGTTTCATTCAATGGTTAGTTGACCTGCCTTTTAGGCATCCTTGGTGAAAGGAATGACTGAAGATTCATTTTTCATGACCACTGGAAACCTAAGAGGAAAATATGATGGGCCTATAAAAGGAAGGTCATCCACCAGGCTTTTCCCCTTGTCGCAGATATATATAATGACATGAGTTTAAGAAAATTCTGTAGGGTTATGAATGAGGACTCATTTCCTCACCGTAGGTTTCACCCTTTCAAAGATCCCATACTGTTCTCTAGTTCAACAGGCTAGCACAAAAGTCTTTAGAAACCATGGGATATGGAATCTATAACAATTCAATTTATCGACTGCACTTAGCTACATAGAAACATTATGCTGAATAACCAATTCTTTCCAACAATGGGTTTTTGGAGTTTTAGCTATGAAAGTTTGAAGATTTATGCACAGATACCTGATTTTCCTCAGACTCCTCGCTCTGTCTGCAGTGAGCCTTGTGGTACTGGATTTAGGAAATCTCCTCAGGAAGGAAAGGCTGCCTGTTGCTTTAATTGCACCCCTTGCCCACAGAATGAGATTGCTAATATGACAGGTAAGTCTGAGACTCTCCTCAGTTTTCCTCAACCAAACAAGTCAATGCAAAACTTGTACATTGTGATTGCAGACCCCTTTTTCCTTTTCTCTGTTAATAATTTAATTTTGAGGGGCTGGGAAGGTGGCTAGGTGGCAGAGTGCTTGATTTGAATGCATGAGGACCCTGGTTTCATTGTTCAGCACCACATGAGCAGAACAAAAGCCAGAAAAAAAGCACTAGCCTTGAGCTGAAGAGCTGAGGGACAGTGCCCAGGCCCAGATTTTAGACCACACAACTTGCCACAAATAATAATAATAATAATAATAATTTGACAAGTCGTGGTACTGTTAGGTGAAATAGGTCATGAGCTTGAATTGCATATTTCAGTAATATTTTCTACTCTACTGCAGCAGGCAAACTTAGTTCCAGAAATCCCTCTTATCACTCAGAGTTAAGACAAGTATAAACCCTAAGATGAAAGTAAACATGTATTATTGGACCGTGCTCACCTTTTTATTCACACAGGAAACATACATTTTACACATCTTTATTTCTCTCTGCCCAGCACTGTTCATGGCACAGAGAAAGTACTCAGAATGGTGGATTGACTTTAAGAAGTGAGCATGACTATAAAGGGCCCAAGAAGGGTTTCTCTCTTCCTATTGCTTCACAGATGGGTTGGAGAGAAAAATGGGATGAGATGAATTCAAGAAGGTGCAACTGGGATAAAATTAATGTTTTACAAAGACATGTAATTAAGTGTAACCCATAGTATTTATTGTGGATTGCACAAACAGTTAATAAATGTTAAGACATGTAAGAAATTGTTGTAAGGACATGAGAATGACCCAAAGTGCACATTATCACTACATATGATAATGACTGAAAGAAAAAGGAGTTGAATGAAAAAGGCTGAATAAACAAGTAGATGGAAATGGGAGGAGGTTATGATTTAGAAAAGATATAAATGTTACTAATGACATGTTATCATTACATCTACGGGAATAATTTCCTATTTTTATGAAGTAAAAGAAGTTCAAAACAAGAACTAATGATAGCATACACTCTTTATCAGAGATGGAGCACTGTGTGAAATGTGCAGATCATCAGTATGCCAACACACAGAGAAATCAGTGCCTCCTGAGAGATGAAAGTTTCCTGGCTTTTGGAGATCCTTTGGGCATGGCCCTGGCCTGCATGGGTATTTGCTTCTCTATGCTAACTGCTGCTGTTCTTGGGATGTTTGTGAAACACCATGACACTGCCATTGTCAAGGCCAATAACAGGGCTCTCAGCTACATCCTACTCATCTCCCTCATCTTCTGTTTCCTCTGTTCCTTGCTCTTCATTGGCTGTCCCAACACAGTCACCTGCATCCTGCAGCAGATCACATTTGGACTTGTCTTCACTGTGGCTGTTTCCACAGTGTTGGCAAAAACAGTGATTGTGGTCCTGGCCTTCAAGTCCATTTCTCCAGGGAGAAGAATGAGGGGGTTGTTGGTTTCAGGGGCTCCTAACCTCATCATCCCCATCTGTACTCTCATCCAGGTGACTCTCTGTGGATTCTGGCTGGGAACCTCTCCTCCCTTTGTGGATACAGATGCACACTCTGAACATGGCCACATCATCATCCTGTGCAACAAGGGTTCCCTCACTGCCTTCTATTGTGTCCTGGGATACCTGGGCTCCCTGGCCCTGGCCAGCTTCACTGTAGCTTTTCTGGCCAGGAACCTGCCTGACACCTTCAACGAAGCTAAATTCCTGACCTTCAGCATGCTGGTGTTCTGCAGTGTGTGGCTCACCTTCCTCCCTGTCTATCATAGTGCCAAGGGGAAGGTCATGGTGGCTGTGGAGGTCTTCTCCATCTTGGCCTCTGGTGCAGGGCTCCTAGGCTGCATTTTTGTCCCCAAATGTTACAATATAGTGTTAATGCCCAACAGAAATTCTCTGCATGGCTTTAGGGAAAAACATCAACATAGTAGGAAAAATTAGTTTTCTTATGAAGAATCTCCTATGTTTGATTACTATACACATGGTTTTCTCTAAATCTAGAGTCATTTTCCATTGTTTTATTACATTGTAATGTGGATTTTAACTTCAATGAATAAGGGTCTTTTGCTTATTTGTCTTTTTTTCATTTTTTATTGCCCAGAGGGGTTAAAGTTACATGAATAGGGTAATGAACACATTTCATAGCAAGTGTTGTTACCTCCTCCTTTATTTTCCTTCTACCAAAACTTCCCTCCCTGCTCCGACAACTCCTCCCGCCACCCCCCACCCTGACATTGTAACATTCATTTTCAATATAGGGTCCTGTACATCTTGTCCTCACAATGGGTCAGCCTGCATCCCCATTTAAGCATTCTGCAATATCTCTTCCACTCCCCAAATTACAAAAGTGTATATACAAGGTGCAGAATACCAGCAAGAAATCCATTGAAAACAGGGGTTATACCATGGGGGGAAAGCATACACTAAATAGAAAGAAAAAGATCACATAGTGCATTGTAATTAGATTAAACACACTAGCAAGCAAGGAAAAAAACCTCTTCTGTCCCTGTCTTGGGGTATATTTTGCTTAACATTATCTCATGTGGTTGTATGTACACAACTTTTGACTTTTTCTGCTTGTCCTAGACATGTACTAGTCACTGTAAACAAGAGAAACCAGGGGACCTATGAAGTAAGCAAGGAGCTTACTTCACTTAATATAATTTTTTCCAAGTCTTTCCATTTCCTAACAAAAGAGGCAATATCATTCTTTCTGATGGAGGCATAGAATTCATATTTTTTTCTTGATCCATTCATCTACTGAGCCCATATGGATTGGTTCCATATCTTAGCTATGGTAAATAATGCTGTGATAAATATGTTTGTGCTGGTAGCTTTGGTATGACTTTCTTCATGATTTTTTTGGTAAGTGCCCAAAAGTGGGATTGCTAGGTCATAAGATAGCTCTATGTGGAATCTTTATTTTAATTTTATTTATTTTTTTTATTGTGAAAATACTGTACAGAGGGGTTACAATTACATGGGCAAGATAACGAGTACATTTCCTATCAAGCATTGTAGCCTCCTCCTTTGTTTCCCCTTCCCATCCCTTTCCATCCTTCCCTTGCTGCTCCCACCCAATCCTCCCCACCCCCCCCACCAAAGTTGTAAAGTTCGTTTGACATAACAACTTGTACATCTCATTGTTGCAATGAGTCCACCTGTACACCTATTTAAACGACATGTTTTTCCCCTTCCCCTCCACAAATTATACTGAAGTCAAATACACTGAAAGCAGGGGTTATACTGTGGGAGAGGGACATACAAAGCAACAAGAAATCATCTTATAAATGTGTTAGAGACAATCGCATGAAAGAAAAAAAAAACATTTCAATACATATCTTAGGGTTCATTTCCCTAACATCACCTTATCTGACCTTTTCTGCTTAACTCAGACATATACTAGATATTGCAAATAAGGGAAACCATGGGACCTATGTTTCTTTGGGCCTGGCTTACTTCACTTAATATAATTTTTTCCAAGTTTTTCCATTTCCTAACAAATGGGGCAATGTCATTCTTTCTGATGGAAGCATAGAATTCCATTGTGTATATATACCACATTTTCTTGATCCATTCATCTACTGAGGGGCATCTGGGTTGGTTCCATATTTTAGCTATGGTAAATAATGCTACAATAAACATAGTCCTGCTGGTATGTTTAGTGTGGTCTTGTTTGTAAACATTTGGGTAAATGCCCAAAAGTATGTGGAATCTTTTGAGGAACCTCCATACTGCTTTCCAGAGTCATTGAACAAGTCTACACTCCCACCAACAATACAGTAGGATTCCCTTTGGCCATATCCCCTCTAGCATCTGTTGTGGATCTGTTGTTACAGGATTTCTTGACTATGGCTATAGTCAAGAGGTGGAATCTCAATGTTATCTTGATTTGCATTTCTATTAGGGCTAGAGAGGTCGAGCATTTCTTCATTTGTCTATTGGCCATTCTCATTTCCTCCTCATAGAAGTCTCTCTTTAAGTCTTTAGCCCATGTGTTAATCTTGCAGTTATTTCTTTGAGGATTTGTTGTTGGGAAATTGAGTTTTTGGAATTCTAAGTAGATTTTAGATATGAGACCCTTGTCTGTTGTATGGCTACTAAAGATCTTCTACAAGTCTGGGGGCTTTCTGTTGATCTTGCTAGCTATGTCCATTGTCATGCAGAAGCTCTGCGGTTTCATGCAGTCTCATTTGTCCAACCTTTCTTTGATTGGTTCTCCTTCTGGGTCTCTATTAAGAAAATTTAGGCCTGTACCAAGGAGCCCTAGAGTTTCTCCTATTCCTTCCTGTAATGTTTTCATGGAGTCTGCTTTTATTTCAAGGTCTTTCATTCATTTGGAGTTGATTCTGGGTAAAATGATACATACGGATCCAGTTTTATTTTTCTACAAGTATTTAACTAATTTTGCCAGCACCATTACTGAAAAGACTGTCTTTCTTCTATTCTATTTCTTTAGCTCTCTTGTCAAAGATTAGGTGGCTATAGGTCTGTGGGTTCATTTCTGGGTCTTCAGTCCTATCCCATTGTCCCTCAGGTCTGTTCTTGTGTCAGTACCAAGATGTTTTGATTACTAAGGCTTTGTAGTAGAGTTTGAAATTTGGAATTGATATTCCTCCAGCACTATTCTTTTTAGTAAAGATTGTTTTTGCTATCCGTGGTTTTATTGTTCCATATGAATTTGTGGATTGCTTCTTATATTTCATTACATAATGAGGTTGGAATACTGATAGGTATCACATTGAATTTGTAGATAGCCATTGGCAGTACTGCCATTTTCTCAGTGTTAATCTTCCCAATCTGGGAGCATGGGGGAGAGGGGTGTTTCCACATGCTTAGTTCTGTTTTAATTTCCTTTGCCAGATTTTTAAAGTTTTCATCATACAAGTCCTTCATCTATTTTGTTAAGTTAACTGCTAAGTATTTTATTTTTTGTGGGGCTATTACAAAAGGGGTTGCTTTCTAATTTCAGCCGCACTCTTCTCATTATTGGCATACAGGAAAGCCATTGAGTTTTGAGGGTTAATTTTATCCCGTGTTACTTTGCCAAAGTTTCTGATCAGCTCAAGTAACTTGGGAGTGGAGTCCATGGTGTTCTTTAAATACAAGATAGTGTCATCTGCAAAGAGGGAGAGTTTTACTTTATCCTTCCCTATGTGGATTCCCTTTATGACTGCATCTTGCTGTAGCTAGGCATTCTAATACTAGGTTGAAGAGGAGCTGGGAGAGTGGACACTCTCATCTCTTTCCTGAACTTAGATGAAATGGCTTTAACTTTTCGTCATTAAGTATAATTCTGGCTGTAGGTTTGTCATATACAGCCTTTATTGTATTGAGGAATGTTCCATGGATTCCTAGATTTTCCAGAACCTTAATCATAAAGGGATATTGGATCTTTTGAAATGCTTTTTCTACATCTATTGAGATAACTGTGTGGTTCTTATCCTTGCTCTTGTTGGTTTGATGAATTATATTATTTGTTTTGGGTTTATTGAACCAGCTTTGCATCCCTGAAATGAATCCTGTTTGATCGTGGTGTATGATTCTTTTGATGAGTTGTTGAAGTCGATTGGCCAACATTTTTTTTTGAGAAGTTTTGAAAGATATTGAACAAAAAATGTGTCTATGGTTCACGTTCTTTAATGAGTCCCTCCCTCGTTTTGGGATGAGGGTTATACTTCCTTTATAAAAACAGTGTGGTAGTGAATTTTTGCTTTCCTTTTTATTAAAAAGAAGGAAGAGTATTGTTGTAGGTTCTGCTTTAAATGCCTTGTAGAATTCAGCTATACATCCATTAGTTCCTGGACTTATTTTGGCTGGGAGCCCTTTTATTTCTGCTTCTATTTTGATGCTTGATACGGGTCTGTTGTTTTAAATGATCTTAGTTTAGGGCATGTCAATATTTGCTACAAATTTATCCATATCTTTCAGATTATCAAATTTATTAGCATAAATGTTTGACAAGTATCCCCTTATTTTATTCTGAATCTTGGCTGTTTCTGTAGTGATGTTTCCACTGTCATCTCTGAGTTTCGTCATTTGGGTGTGTTTTCTTTTTCTGATAAGATTTGCTAAGGTTCTCTCAATTTTATTCATTTTACAAAGAAGGAACTCTTTGTCTTGTTCATTTTTTCTATAAGTTTTGGTACTCTAATTGATTTACTTTGGATTTAATTTTAATTATTGGTGTCCATCTAGTGGATTGGGGTTTTATTGTTTTTTTTTTTCATTTTTGGTGGCCAGTCGTGGGACCTGGACACTGTCCCTCAGCTCTTCAGCTCAAGGATAGCACTCTACCACTTGAGCCACAGTGTCACTTCTGGCTTTTTCCTTTTTGCTTATGTGGTACTGAGGAATTGAACCCAGGACCTCATGCATGCAAGGCAAGTGCTCCAACACTGAGCCACCTTCCCAGACCTTGTTGTTCTTTTTCAAGGAGCTTTAGGTGCTTCATTAAATTGTTGGTTTCAGGTCTTTCCAATTTGTTGATATAGGAACTCAGAGCTATAAACCTGCCTCTGAGTACTGCCTTTGCTGGGTCCCAGGGGAGCAGGAAATTTGTGTGATCATTTTGTTGAATATCATGAACATATGAATTTCCTTTCTAATCTTTTCCATGCCCCACTTGAGATTCAACACTGGGTTGTTAAGCTTCCATGTGTTACAAGATTTCCTTTGGGGGCTTCTGGTGTTGAATTCTAATTTAATTCCCTTGTGGTTTGGGAGAATGCAGGGTATAATGAAGGAATTTTTATGAGGGCCAGCTGTTTAACAAATGAACATGTAAGTATACTATATTTCCAACTTCTTCCCTATGGTAATCCAGATATGATCAAAATACTTTGTCAGTTTCTAGAGTTTTGTCTAGCTTTCTTACTTTACAATTTCATTATTACATTTGATTTTATATTACTGTGTAAAATACTGAATCCTCATTGTGT